TCGTGCATACCTGGCGCTCCGGCCGGCTTGCCGCGACAACGGTCCCATTGTTTCACCATCGAATAATTTCGAGAGTTTCGACTGTTTTAACAAACTGAAAATTTATTGCATCCCAAGGTAAAGTAATACGTGACGGCACAATAGACTTGCAGTAATAACATTTCAGTTTTTTGTTATGTAATAAAGGCGCAAAACGTGCCTTAAAAGGTCAACAAGTAATGGAGGTTATTGACGTCCACCATCCACGTCTCGACATATTGTGTTGAATGAACATTCTAATGTTTATTTACAGAATACTTAAAGCAGTCTAGGGAATTTAGCCAAACTGCGAGGCTGCGTCATACGCGTAAATAATTAAACGTTGCTCCAAATTCGCCTTTCATGGATGACTCGGGCCGTGGGAGTTACGAAGCACAGCTCATCTCAATCGACTAAAGGAACGGTACAAGTTGTACGATCGCTTTATTTATTTATGGTATTTCCAGTAATATTAGAAACCGGCGCGTGTCTTGGTATCATATCGTTTCACCAGTCGAGCAGCAAAAGTATGGTTTGCCGGTCGTTAACTACGCTCGCGACCTTTCGCGTTGTGTAATCGCCGAACACCAATCATGCAGAAATGTAAATGTTTGCCAAAACTAACTCAGTTAACTACACACTACACCTATAACATTATATTTACTAAAATAAGGATTCATAAATAAATATTGCATAAGGTAAATAATAAATGTTGTAGTGCGAAGCAACAATGATGCTGCAGCGATATCTGTCTAGTCAACAATGCACCAAGTTTATAATACAAAGACTCGTAAATTACTAACAACTGCTTTCCACGAATTGCTTAATAATAAAAAACGTATGTCCTGAAATTAACTTTCAACTATTTAATCCGATTATAAGGTTGTTGTAACACAATCATAATCCGGGACGTGGCTGCGGCATTGTCAGGAAGTTTTGTGTTTTGTAAAGTTTTCCAAAAGGAAACTAATATTAAAGCAGTTTCACATAACTACCTCGTAGTTTACCAACAATATGTTTGTAATATGACGGAGTAAGTAGCTCGCAAGGTCAGCCGCTTCCTACGAGGACTGAACTTAGGAACGCATGTAGGCTGTGCGCTGTGCAGGGCACCTGCAGGTGAATGTCTAATGCTAATTGGAGAACTGGAGCTAAGAATACACCTGTCCTAACTACCTCCTAGCTACGACTTGCGTAACTTCACAAGGATAGTCGTACTGACAACAAAATATGGAGCTCATAAACATTTTTGTAGACTCGAATAGCAACAACCTTCATCCAATTACGAGATCAACTTCCAGTGAAGGTCTGTCCATAAAAATAATGAAGTGTCGAATGTGGCGTCTAAATTGTGAAATTCGAACGTTTCGTAGTTCGGGTCTAGTTTGACAAGAACCAGTGGCAATAAAGCAATAGAGGGACTAGTGCTGCACTTAGTATGAACACATTGTCGCGAAAGCGGTTCTTGCTCCCAGCGCACATTCCATATAACCAAATGGTCATTAGTGCAAAAACAGGAGGTGCTTGCAACACAACCTATCTCAACATTCTAGACCGAGCTTTGTAGACAGTATCGATATAATCGTAATCGTGAAATACCAGGTAAGTCGGTTAAAGGTATTCTGTGGACTGGGCAGGGCTGGGAACACGGTAACTTGGTCAAACTGACAGATAACATTAAGCTTGAATTATAATTTTGATACTTGAGAACTAACATTTAGTAGATAACGTTGAACCTAGGACGCAATGGCATGCAGTCCTGCACCTCCAGTTTCATAACCTTTAAACACAGATAATAAAATAACTTACCTAGCTGTAAGCTCTATGACTATAGCAGTGTAAGATTCTTTCTGGTATAGGTACATATTTTTGACAATCTTTTTGATGACATTGTACTAGACTAAACCACGAAATATGTATAGTCACACAGAACTACAGAACAAATATTGCTTTGCTATGTAAGTACAGGTTCGATTCTTGTTTTTCCGCGCGTTTCAAAAATACAGATGATTCACTGATTTGTACCGGTGCTCGTGTGCCGGTACCTATTGATAACATTTCTGTATGATTTAATTAATTGAAACTTTATTGCCTAGGTAGTATAAGTATTACTATACCTTAACTTAGAAGCCACCTATATCTGAATCCAAAGTCATTATTCTTCATCAAAGGTCACAAGTAGGTAGATACGTAAGTATCTAGTACCTACCTACTTGCCGTAATGGATTAGCTATTAATTAGGTGTTTATATGGTACGCACTCCACTAAGTAGGTTGCTGGGTACCTATGTCTACTGCGGACTAACCAGTCTAGTATGAGTAATTCAGTGGGTAAACAAACCCGATGTAACCAATAAAAACAGTAGAAACCCCGCGTAAAGTACCCGCAGTAAGAATTGATGTGTAGACTGACCTGTCCAGTAGCTTTCTTATAGCGGTGCGTGGCCTCCCGCACGAGGTCTCTGACCAGCAGGTCGCCAGCGCCGCACGGGACCAGCACCCGCACCGACCCGAAGCACACTGTCACCTTCATGTTACCACCGCACTGCACTATGAATCACCAAAGCACTACACCACTCCGTCGCAATATCCACTAGCTAGCATATTAGTTTGTCGTCAAACTAACAGGAGCACAACATTATCTGATGCACATGGCACAGGTAACTTTACGTCGAAGCCGCTCACTAAGCACTCGCGATACAAAAAGAACAAAAACACCAGGTCGTGCGTGTGTTTTCATAGCGCAGTCGGAGCGTCTCGCTGCACACTCAGAGTGCTCCGCCGTGCACTTAATCTAATGTTAAATTGACACATCAAAACACTAGATTCACGTTGAACATCGAGCACATATCGATAAGATTACGCGAAGTACGGGCGCATAGTGCGCGCGCTCTCAACGGCAGCAACGGTCGTGGCAAGGAACATGAATAAGAATTTGAAGTTGTTTGTAGCGGCGGAGCGGGGCAGGGCGGCGGGACGCGGCGACCGGTTCCCGCGCGCAGCCAATCGGCGGCGACGCGCGGCCCGCAGCTGTGCGCTTGTGGTGGTGGCCCGCCGAGCGCCGCGTCATACCTGCCTCGCTCCGGTTTGTATTTCACTCACATACCGGCTATTACACATTATTTTGAATGAAACTGTCCCTGATTACTACTTAACTGAGTCATTAGTTGCGAGAACTCGCGATAACTTCAAAACTGGTAGCGTTCAGGCGTCTTACTCAAGCGAGCAGCCTACTTGTTTCTTTACAACTTACTACTCCGCCGTTGGTATTTGCTGTGGACGGTGTAGTCACAGCACTCACACACACGCAATTTAATCACAGTACAAATGTCGGTATCAAAGTAGTCATAACTTGGAGTTGATGTCATGCAATCAACAAGACACAAGTACCCACCTATAGCACATAACACAAGTACTTCAATAAGTTACTGTCTGGTGAAACGCCTTTGTGTAATCAATATCACCATGTCAACCCCTATACAGATAACATGCATTTACCCACACCGCAATCAAATTGTGTAACAAAGTAGGATCGTTTTTGTTCTTTGAAAACGATGAAAAATAAAACAGAATGTACCCAATAAAGTTATCACTATTCTGCACACAAATAGAAACATAATGTTATACCGACTCGTTTGTGCTTTGCATAGGAATGCAGTTCAATCATTGCATTCGTACAATAAAGCATTATCTTATTGATGGCTAGTTATTTCTAACAATACCCAGGATGAACTCATAGGAAGAACTTCATACAAATAAATGCTACCTCGACATAGGATATATCCCTTATTAATTCTTATTTATAGATAAAAAGACTAGTACCCAAGCATCTATTATTTCGAAGTCCAAGTTTGAAAATACCACGTGCAGTAAGCCAGTAACAATATCCGTTGATGGTTCTCGCGTGGTACAGTTCAAGGCGAAGGGCGTTAGTATGCGGAACACGACAGTCGTAACCGACACACCTGTACCTGACCCGCAAACCTATGTGACTATATGACATGAGTATTATTCAACACCAAACTACATCATTTTACACTCTTTTTCCACGAAAAAAGACTACTTTATATGACTTTTATTTTGATTTGTTACAATGTGACATGCTAAGATGGTTTTTAAGTATAAGTTCTAACAAACATTGCTGATAGATGAATTCAGTTTTTGGAGTATATTACCGACCATTTTATCACTGCACAATTGTAGAGTTGAACTAAAAAAATAAAAATACTATGTTGTCGTGGTCACCTGATAAGGAAAACTACCCACTATGTAGAATTCATTTTAGCAACTTACCCATCAAGTCTGGTTAGTAAAATACCTAGAAGTAGGTATTAGTAATTTAGTATTAGTAATATTTCCACCTATTGTAATTCTGTAAATAAATCCAAACTTTAGTTCACAAATCACGTGATTGATATAGAAAATTAATTTGTTAAATAAATAAAGTTTATTCATCCACTGATTACTTTATTGTAAGCTATTGTTCTTTTCTAATTGTGAGTCACATTCGTTCATAATATAGCACCACCATTATTATAACTCTTTTTCTTTTCAAAAGGTAAATGTACTTTTCAACTGCAGTTTCCTGCTCGTTCTTCTCCATAGGAATCCACACCTTGGAATAAGCAAATAGCTTCACTATTAAATTTTTTGTTGACGTTCCAAAGTGCCTCTTTGGTCTAATTGAACTAAATGATTTTGACTTTGATTTTCAATTATACATAAGTAGTGAGTCAATAGCAGCACCTTTGCACTATAACTTTATATATTATCCAAATTATCCAAAAAAGGAAAGTCATTTATTTATATCAAGAATCGACCTCACAGTCCACAATATTGCAACTGTTGAGAAGTTACGATACTGTGACAACTGCGACGCTAACAAACATTCCAATCCAATCGGACAGCACAATCTAAATAAGGTAACGATTAATTTTCCTGTACACAAGGATATAGAAAATTAAACAACATCCGATGATGTAAACCACTTTTAATTTGTAATAAGTAATTAATATTGCTTAGGTAATTGAATTTAAATAAATAAAATACACAATACACTTGCTACATAAGGCGCAATTCAAGTACCCTACACAAATGATACTGACAATATAATTTCTATGAGAATAATATGCAGGCAGGTCTCCAAACTGGTATTCACATTAAAGCTTTATAAACAGAGAGGATTTACTTTGTGCTCATAAAGTCATCGTGCTAGATACACAGTTTTCTTTGTAGATAGCATTAATGTGAATATCTCAGCTAATTCCAAAACATTTTTGTATTCATATACTAAATTTTTATCAATTATAATGTGACTGTTCGATACACTGAATTACTGCACATAATAAAAAATGCAGTAATTCATCAATGAATATAATTATTCAAAAAACATTCAAAATATTCTTCAACTACTCGCCTACCAAGATATTACTATAAGTCAGATCTATTTTGTCAAATTTTGTCTGCATTCATATCGAGAAATAGAAACGTTTTATATAAAAAAACAACATTATACAAGTGTCGAACAAATAATTCATACTGTATAAGCATACACATAAAATAGTTTGGCACTATGTGTACATACATCAACATGAGAAAACATTAAATTCAAATACTGAGAATAAAAATAGCAAATAAGAGAATTCCTTCAAAAAATAATATATTTTCACAGCGTGGTATACTTAGGTATAGGTATGTAGAATAGCACTTGACAGGTCATTTAACAATATTTACAAAGATTAACAATCTCTAGATCTCACTGACGCACTATACCGTGCTCGTCCTATGTACAATTCTCAGACATTAACATCTCTCAACCAGTTAAAGCAGACCAAAATTATATTTCAAAAATTGTGATGTTAATAATAATACTACAAGCACGAGCTAATCTAATCGGAAACAAATTTTATTAAACTGTAAGTACATACCTCAACTATTTATACAAAAATCATATTGCCCCAAAAACGTTTATAACATAACTCTGTGGATCGGTTTCCAAATTAAGTACATACCAAATTATATAATGCAGCAATCACGACGCATAATGTACCACCATATGTACTTACGATCAGATTCTATGTACCTCAAACGTGAAATATATGATCAAATAACTATCAGAGTTTATTCTAAAACAATATAATTACATCAAATTGACACAAACTTATATTACATATAAATAATACAAAATAATTGATATTTATTAATACAGAGAATATTCTACAACAAATATTCGCTAGTGGTGTTTATGTATTGGTTGTACTTTTAAGTGTCACGGCTGATTTCTTAAGAACTACATGATATTTATCTCCTCCAAGTTATCGAGCACAAGTTAATGAAGTACATAAGAAACAGGGACTGATAATGGCACTATATTGTAATGAAGAAACGACCAAACATTAGAAAACCATACGTGACTAGATTACGGAAAGAAAATGCCAAAAAGGTTCAGTTTTCCTCTAACAATGGTTGTGAAAATAGAAGTTTGTTTCATGTACTGGTTTACATAGACTTTAATACAATATGAGATACATAAGGCAGATAAATGAAGACTACGAAGCATAATCATCCAGCTGTGGTAACAATGTTTACTCTATAGATAGTTTGAAATGCATTAATCTTACGTATAGTTGACACCACTTCACTAAGTCTCCACAGGACAGGGACCAGCCCTTACTCTAGAACACTGACATTAACAGAGATTGGTCGCTCAAATTCGAATTCCTATACCGTTATCACAAGACAAACCATAAATAATTCTAAGTCAGAGCACCTTATAATTGTAGAGATCATCGCATTCTCCTATAGATGATGCATCACGCCATCACATGGCACATTCAGCTGTACATGAATATCATACAGTGTAACATTAATAGGTACATATTGACACAATTTACATAGTACAAAATCATCAAAGTACAGGCACGTCAGCAATTATGATAAAACAATTATGTCCGCACACGCGAAATCTATACGCTCCGTCTACACGAGCCGGAGCAACGCGCTTACGGAAACAAACAGCGGGGAACAAATCGTTTTGAGTATTTATTTCTTTGCAATAGAGAGCCAAACTGTTCCTCCGTTAATTGTCCCAAATCAAATACGTCGAAGTCTCTGTCATGACAGTTCAATAATTTGAGATTTTCGTTATCACAATTGACCAAAAGGCAGTACACAAGAGAAACAGTCGAAATGTACACGAAATAGTCGATTAAACAAAATCGGACGTTATCACAACTCGCGATATATCACAGTATCACTACACGTCACTCTCGCCGTCGGTGACGTGCGCGGGCTGTCCAAAATTTCTCGTGATAGACTCGCTGACGGTACGAATGTTGGCGAGGTACCGGTGTGCCGGCTCGTCCGAGTCGTAGATAGCACTCAGCGACTCCAGCGACACTAGCGCCTCCGAGTCCAGCAGGCGGGACGAAGCGCGGGACGACACGTCGTCGTCGCGGTCAAAGTAGCATGAATTAACATCACTCAATGCCGCCTCTGCGTCCGTGAGGCCGGCCTCGTTCAGCATGGACACGTTCTCCAGCGCGGGGTCGTCCGTCGTGTAGCCAGTACTCTCTGGCTGCCCGCCCTCCCCGTCGCCCTCACCTTCCGAGCAAGACGAGCTCCATTCGGATTGACTCTCCCCGTATATACCCATTTCTCTATGATGAGAAGCGGCCACCTACAAATTATATTAAGTCGTCGTATCAAGTTGTAAAAGAACAAGAAGTTTCATAGTAACATTTACAAGCAACTTACTCGGTGGTGCAGTCTCTCCTGGACTTCTTTTTCTCTCTCCTTTTCCCGAATAGTAATGGGATCAGGTTTCCTTTCGCATGGTGGGCTGAAAAGCAATCAATGTTTTAATAAAACTAGTAAATACAAATATATTGTATGCAAACTTTTATAACTAATGGTCCATTTGTGACCTACCTAGGTCTATGTCGCTCGTGGTTAGGTGACGGCAGTTCTACGACGACGTCGGTGGGTAGTACCCCGGGGAACTCCTGTGGCCTAGCAGGACTACTGGCCTCGTTGCGCACGACCTGTGTGATGGCGGCCAGGCCCACCGCGTGTAGAGGGCTACTGTTGTTGTTATTGTTGCAGTTGCGCATCGGCTCCAGAGACGGGTTTGCTCCCCTATAAATAAAATATGGAATTAACCTTCGTAATCACTTAAACTGTTTCTGATTTAAGTGTTGTAGATGGTTTAAAATTAATATGACAAGAACACTGTTCTTGTCACTATAACTAAAAAAGTCTTACCTTAATTCCAATTTCAGTTCTTTCCGTTCTGACTTGGGCGGGTTAATTTTGATAAGATTTTTATCATCGAGCAGTCGTTGGATCTCCCGTTCGAAAGGCGGTACGCACGCCACGTCTGACGGACTTCGCTTCGCAAAGGGTTCTCGTCCATCGTGATTCAGATGTTTCAAGTTCGTCGGTCGGCTACCTGAACTTGAAAATGAATCTGCTCGTTGCCCCAGTCGAGTGACCACATCTTTCTTGTCAGTTTGACAGCAGCCATCGCGCTTTGCAGAAGCTTGGATCATATTAATGATACTTCTCTGCAACTTTTCTTCTTCTTTTTGGAAGTCTACACTTCCGTCGAGGAACTTATCTTCCAGAGACGGTTTCCTGGCTATTTTGTGTTTGGCGTATATATCGTTGATGTGGTTAACGGTGGGTTTGCTGGGGCGTACGGGTGGGTAGTCGTAAGCCGGGCTCGGGTTAGCTCGCTGGGGTCTCGTTGGTGGGATCCATTGAGAGGGTCGCGGGGGTGAGGGCGAGGCATCGGTGGTGCGGGAGTAGCTCTCGTCGGAGGAGCTGAGGCTGGGCGAGCGAGTGAGGGAGCTGAGCTCGTCGGCGGAGGAGTGCACGCGCGGGCTGCGTGCCAGTGGCAGGCTCTCGCTGGAGCGCGGGCGCGGCAGGCGGGCCGGGCCGCGCCGCTTGTGGGGCGCGGAGTGTTGCCTTTTTTGCTGGGACGGGCCTCCGCCGGCCGCGGCCACGGCGCCACCAGCGCGCGCGGCGGCGGCCAGCGCGGGCCCACGCTGCCGTGCCCACCCACGTGGCCCGTGCCATGCGGTGGAGGAGGTGGAGGACTGTCCCCGTTCTCCTTGTTCCTGCGACCCTTGCTACCTTTATTATTGCCATTACTCTGATGTCCATTAGAAGGTAGGAGCGGTTCATTCTCTCCAGCTACTGACGATTCTCTCAGAGGTGGCAATCTTGAAGGTTGTGCGGCTGCTCTCCTCGCGGAGTTTTGTAGCATGGCAAGAGGGGTAGCAACACCACCGTATGCGGTGGGAGGGTTGTTTGTGGGACCATTAGACGTACTCTGTATGGTCCCGTTAGCTGGAGCTCTGTCAGTAAGGAAGTAGGTAGTCATTTCCCCCTTGCCCTTTACTTTGACCTTGCCTCTGCACACAAACTGGTAAGGCATGTCCTTCAGTACTTGGTACACCTCCTCAGTGACTTGCGTGTGATTGGGTAGACCAGTGGAGTCCATACGAGATGCGACATTGACTGTGTTACCCCAGATATCGTACTGTGGTTTCCGCGCTCCTATTACACCAGCTACTACGGGACCAACGTTTATACCTGGAAAGAAAAATAGTTTAATTTAGTCTTCCGAAAGATATTAAATAGTACAGTACTTAAAACTTTATTCTGCCGACTTTTAAGTCTAATTTGCTTTACAGTAACTCACCGACTCGCAACATGAAGTTATTGTATGAGTTGTCGTTAATGTCCTTTAGTTTGTCTCTCATCGCGAACACAAACTCGACGAGCGTGGCCATATGCTTGCGTGTACTCGGCTCGTCCGTCATCTTCCTATCGGGAATCAAACCTACTGCCGCCATGTACGTTGATCCAACAGTCTTGATCTTGTCTATTGCACCGAAACGATCTTCACCCAGAAGCTGAAATTTTATGTTTAAATTATTACCTACTTTTATGTCACAAGTTAATCTGAACCATGTTATTGTCACTTAAGACTCAAAAGTGACTGAATATTTTCGTTATTAGCCTCAAAAGACTGTACCACATAGACATTTCAAACATTAACACATTAGCATACTCAGCACTGCCCTATCCAATTCTTAATCCGAGTAATAATTCCAGAATTGTACAATCACATTCAAAACGCACAGTGTACTTCAAATAGACAAAAAGGGTATAATAATATTTACCTCATCAAAATCAGCAATAATTTCGTTGAGCAGCCGCAGACACTCCATGCCCTGGTTGTTCCCGTCGAGCTCCATGTAGAACTCGTGGTAGTTGGTGATGGACGCGAACACCACGCCCACGCGCTGGTACGACTGGTGGTACAAGTCCTGCGCACCGCGCCTCTAGTCAGCACCCAGCCCAGTGACAACCACACGCGAATTTATCATCTATTCCCATTTAACTACGGTCTACTTTTCATTATCGTGGGTATATACAAATGGTCTTCTGTTTGATTTGAGACACAACCACACGCAATTTTCATCTAACTACGGTCTATTTTTGATCAACTTGGTCTATTCATTTTAACTGCGAAAATTTGGGATATATTTTCATCTAGCTACAGTCTACTACTAATCAAAACAGGTAATATAAAGTGTGACATGTTCTTTTCTAATTTGAATTAACAAAACCACACACCAATTTAGTATCTAACTACATCTAGTTAAGGTCTACTATTAAACAATATAACCAGAGTATAGTGAGTGTACCTCTTGGATTGAGACATTTTATACCAAGTTGTAGAAAAGTTGTTATTACTTTCCATATTTTTGGATAATGGAATATGTAGTAAATATAAGAAAGATTTATAATATATTATGAAGAAAAATTTAAAAATAAAGCGTCAAAAGTTATGTGTTAGTTGGAAACACACTGGTTATGCAATAAACACGCTTGCAGTCAATTCTGTATGACTGTGCCTACCCCTTTTGAAATAGTTTGTAGTTGTCACTAGACCTCATACGTGCTATTTGTGACACATAAGTTAGTTATGTGATCGATCAACCATAGGTATTATAGTTGATTGAAATGCGATGCGAGTGAATATGAACACAGAAACGAAATAATGAATATTTATATAAAACATTTTGTGACTTATTCTCATTGAATTTAGCTTAACCTCTGAATGAATGTAAGTAATGCATGCTTTTTTTGGTCGGAAGGTATTTCTAAATTAGTTTTAAGGTATTCCAAATTGATTTTGAAGCAGTAGTACGTTGATAGCATCATAATTTTATATAAAAACTAGCTACTTCTGCGCGGTTTCACACGCTATGCTCAGCTCCTATTGGTCGTAGCGTGATGTTTTATAGCCTATAGCCTTCCTCGATAAATGCGCTATCCAACACAAGAAGAATTATTCAAATCAGACTTGTAGTTACGGAGATTAGCGCGTTCAAACAAACAAACAAAAAAACAAACTCTTCCGCTTTATATAATAGTATAAGATATAAGATTACATCTGGAAGGAACTAACCAGTTCCATTTCCATAATAGAGTTAATTTATAACTTTATCGTTTTGTGATAAAGTTGATAATACAATAAGAATCCAGTTTAGAATATCTGACGTTATGTTACAAGCTATTTTTAAAGTTCGATGAGGTACATTCCTTGGCCTATCTAGGAGTCATTGGGGGAGGCCTATGTTCAGCAGGTGGACATCTTACGGTCAATATGATGTTGAAGTTCATGCATATAAACGGCGTCATCAAACACCACCAATACTTACCATGTTCGTTCTAAACTGGTTGTCCAAGAAATGTGTTGCCACGTGCGCAGGGAGCAGGTTGAAGAGAATTCTCCGGTTCGATGCCTGAAATTAATAAATTGTTATGTTAATAAAAAGAAAATAGAAACAAGTCTTGTGGTCAAATGGGAAACGCAATAGAACTGTTTCTAAAATGATTAATTAATAATAATAATTGTTTCCTTTTACTATTTAGTTAAAGTTCTAAAACTCATTGGCATTGGTCGCAAGTGCTACTGCCGTTCAAAGAGTTTTGGGTTCGATTCCCGGGTCGAGCAAAGTATTACTGGGTTTTAAAAAAATATCTCAGTAGTAGCACTGAGTCTGGAAATGTGCCCGGTATATGGCAATAGGCTCGCCCCCTAATACATGGGCTGTGATATCACTCCGGTCGAGCCGGCCCATTTGTGGCAAATCATGGCTCTCCCACACTTAAATTCTAAATAAACTTGTCGTAAGGACGTATGAGTAATGAACAAAACTGACCTGCAAAGCATCCATATCCCTCTTTTCGTCCCGAGCTTGTGCCTGCCATAGGAAGTCCAACCTGGCCGTCCATTCAGTCTGCCTCGCGTGCAGTAACACCGCCAGAGCTAACGCCACCGTCCACGCACTGGCTACGTAAGCGGAACCCACCAAGCCTGAACTGAAATGTATAAGAAAAGGAATATTCCTTTACTAATGTTAATTTTAATAATATAATCGAGATACCTAATAAAAATGTGGTATTCTCAATAACTGTCACTGTCTGACACTGAGTCTGACACTCCCTCCCGCCTCATCCAGGCAGGAGACATAATTAGATAGTTTTCCCCGCTTAACAGAAAAATCCTCAATAACTTGTTATTCTGGCCATTGCTGGACGCCTCTCCAATAGCTCACCACTTTTTCAAGCTCTTCGCCTATAACCACAGCTGGTGATGTAATCATCTAATTCAATAGATAAATATTTTATAATACTATGTTGTTGTTGTTGGAAAATAATTTTATTAAAATCGATCTAGCCATTTTAGCAAATCATTATTTTTGCACTTTTTTCGTTAGAATTATAAGTAACACAAACTTTTTCTGAAGTTTCCTTGAGAGGTTTACATTAAAGTAGTTAGTAGACAGTATAAACATTAATATTGTAGTCACATGTTATATGTAGGTTGGCATAGTCTCTATGCCATGACATAACTAAAACCTGCGGCGGAGGTAGACTATCGCGCCGATGTAATCCCGGCAAGATTAGACGGATCACGTTACATTAGCCGTTCCAATCCTCTTTGTGCCTGAAGGTTTTCTATTATTAGTTTATTAGTCATACCGTAATGGAAAGCTAATTAGGAATTAGCTCGTTCTTCTTATGAAGAAGGTTAATTAGAAGTTATGATATTTGCAAAAGTATCTATATTTTGTGGGGATATTTGCAATAAAAATCTTTCTAGAGTTGAAATGTTTGAGAATTGCAATAATTTTGGTGCCTTCTAACGCAGATTCTTCCAACGCCAGAAAGAGAGAAATAACTTTAAACATAATTCTTCCATACTGAAAACTTAAATTTTATTCTACAGTTAAAAATTAAATAATAATTGAAAAAAGGTCCTTAATACCTTTATTATAACGTGGTAACTAAAGTGGTGGTGGTACTTAAAGTGACCCTAGGTTTATTAGCTAGTTTTGGCCTTCTTAATAATTCTAATATTTTTGGATATCTTCCCAAAGAAAAATAATAATAATTTTATTCGAATATTACTCACTCAATCATCAAATCGTAGCAGTCGAACAGTGCCTTATGGAAGCCGAGTATAACACCCATATAACCGGCAGTCATCACAGCCAACAGGATCCCTTTCACCAGGATCGGGAGCCTTAAGAACACTGCTACCATCAGCATACTGAGGCAGCAACCCAATGTGATGTATAGTGGGACTGGACAAGCAAGATGTTCCGTCCGACTCGACCAGAGCTGTGCGGCAAGAGCACCCCGCATTGTAAGCACTTCGGCCATACTTGTCGTGTTGCCTGTTAGATTTCTACATAGTTCTATGTGTTCGCATGTTACCTGTAAATGAGGAAGGTAAGTAATTTAAAAAATCGAACGATATTAAACTCTAATGCACTTGAAAAACAGTTTCTGATGCTAGTTAGCTTTGTAATGGATGTAATGTGTATTTTCGGATGTGTTGAATGAATACCTTCAAGAAAGCGAATCAAAAACAAACATCTATTAGTGTAATCTACAAGTGGTTATTTTGGGTTTGATCCGGTTGTGAATTTTGTGTTTACAAATGCATTCACAACAGAAGAAAACATCAGTGTGGGGTAAGTTTGTGTTTAGAGAAGTTCATAAACCATTCTAAAACCTGCAAAAATTGGATATATTATTATATTATTAGATATTTATGTTAACTTACCACATTAACTTGTCCAACAGCGTAACCAAGCACAATAGTGAACGTAGTAATAGCATTTCTCAGAGTGAATGGTCGAGACACATCGCACGGTATGAGCCTCAGTCTCGCAGCCAGGGTCAGGGCCAGTACTGCTGCAGACCAGGCGAAGGCCGTCACGAACAATATGAGAAGGATATAGGTTTGTGGTAGGATGGAGGCTTGCAAGGCTCCCGCCGCTACTAAGGCACATAGCGCAGCGGATAGGGATCCCGCCCAACCGCCGTCTGTTGATGCTCGGTACTGTAAATATGGAAGATGACTTTCAATTATTTAGGTTTAAATATTATACGGGATTCCAAAACAGACGGTTTTAGATATTAAGAGATGCTCCAGAAGTTACATTATTTTCCTATTAGTCAGATATGAATGACACACACGTGACTAGTGTCCAGTATAGTAGTGTAATAAGATCACCTGAGCTTCCTTGTCGGCATCCTTGAAGCAGAGCGTGAGCAGGTGTACGTGCGTGGCCTTCTCGCGGTGCACGGAGCGCGCGTCGATGGCCTGCGCCAAGTACTTGTTCACGCGGTTCGTGGGCTGATGGTACACAGACGAGTGGCGCTTTTTCAACGGACGCTTAAACTTCTCCGTCACTTTATTCTGTGAAAACCCACATGCCACGTCAACCACATTGACAAACATAGCAACTACAAGATCCTACGCTACTAACCACCGATTTGTACAACGATCATAATGGAACACATCGATTAGGTACGGAAGGTAATGAAGGTACACCGAGACAAGGTACGGCCGAGGTCAGGGTACACATGAGGGCCATGCCGACTCCATGCTCACAATTTGGAATTTAGAACTGACCTTAGAATACAAAAGATCCGGAATCCAAAGCAGCATCACGTTATTAGAATAGTAATGAAATGAAGTACAAAACATAATATACAAAACGACAGATACTTTCAGATTGGCAAAATATTGAAGTAGAATTTTACAGAGGAACTCAGGCTCCATTGAAATTGATGTGAAATTACGTTAAGACAGATCGATAGTTATTAATAATCAATACTTAAAACTAAATCATTTCGTGGTTGATTATTTCATAAGAGAAAGTTAAGTAAGAGAGATCAAGGTGACAGAGAGAGTAGAGACAGTAGAAATAATCAAGCACCAAATAAATCGTGTGTAAAATACAAAAGGGCCAGTGACGTCATGCAAGTTAGTCGGGCGTCAGGCGTCGGGTCGCATGCCATGCTCTAGTGCTCGAGGTGACTAGTCGGGGTAGCGAGTGAAACACAGTTCGGTGCATCCGGCTTTATTATCGATCATTCTATAAAACAATCTCAAGTATACAGTTGACAATTTCGAAGTAAGAAACGGTGAAGTGAGTGGTCTGTGTGCTCACGTCGAATTAGTCGTCCCCTTCCCGTGTATTGAGTCACAGTGAATAGAAACAGAATGGTAACGTGTTTGCGGCGGTGCGGCCACAGACACTGTGTGAAGCGTACCTACAGTAAGTAAAGGGAGTTATAACGTGGCGCGTGTCGCCCGGTAACCGGGAAATGGTGGAAAACAATAATACACATGAACAATATTCTGTCTGCGCTTACTGTTTCAGCGGGTATTTGTTGTGGAACTAATGTCCAGGGGCGGAATATCTGAAAATAATGAGCAGACGCCTCATGTTAGTCGCTGGTGTATTTCAGTCTTCCACGATATTGTTTTCTACTTGTGAATTTCGGATAAAGTATTGCAAAAGAAAAAGAATCTCATTCGGATTCAAATGGAAACATAACGCAACAAAACAGTAAGTGAAGGCTTAAACAGACCAGCAACTAAATGACATTCGGGAAACAATACGGGAGGAAGAAACATCTTTGTGCGTGGGTTCTCGTGGAATAGACTGACTACCTACATATTGACGATATCTTCGCGTGTTGGGGACTAATAAAAATTGTGTACTGATTAATGTGTGTGTGTATTTGTGTTGAATGTAATAAATAATAAAGATTGGCAGAAAACGAAAATGGCAAATATAGTATGAAGCATTTTGAAACATTCTTCAAGGTCCTCGCAAAATTATTTCTGTAAAACTTGTAAAAAAAGCTTCAGTGCACACCTTAAAATGTAATAAAAGCAGCAAAGATTTAGTTTGAAAACCACCACTCAAACCAAACTAACTACTAGGAAACCATTAAGCGAGGTTATCATTCGACACACAGTATACGTACGAGACGCATCGCTATTGACACACGGATGCGCCTCGCGTATAGTATCTTAAACTGAAGCGGAAAATCTCAGAACCGCAGGAGGAATAGCGATATGGTTTCATGGTATACTCCTAAACTAGACCTAAGTGAACCATATACTATATCGTCCCTGTGATGCATGTGTAATGCGAGTGTAACGCACGCGCGCCGCCGCACGCCTCTAGTCTCTACGCGTGGGACGGCGGGCGTGCGCGTACTACGTATGTATACGCAGTTGCAGTCGTCTGTGCCAGATTAGTTCAAACTGTCGCGGAAATCGATGCATGAATTCCCATTATACTCGTAATCAAATAGCACAGGTCAAACAAAGTGCGTAGTTGCGTATGCATAATAATATTAACATGTGCGGGGGTGTCGTCGACGGCGTGCGTGCGGAGGGCGTGGTGCTGCATGACGGCGTCGAACGTGTGCTGGTGCGGGGCGGAGGCGGGGGCGGCACCACGCCCTCCGCTCGCACTCGGGGGGCGCGGGGGCGCGCATGGCGTCTCTCACGTCTTCGGGGCGCAGCGCGGCCAGCCGCAGCGCCTCCGCGGAGCCCGGCTCCGCGTGCAGCGCGCGCCGCAGGTCCAGCACCTGCCGACACCGCGCGCTAGTACTCCGACCTACCAGCCAAGCTACAGCCCACTGACATCACCCTACTAACGCTCGGCCCGAGGGACGACCGCGATACCCACGATACAATACACATAGAAACGATTCAATTATATTTCAACATTTTATTTCCACTCTAGGCCGCCATCGTCCCTCGTTCTTTAGTAATGCCTCAAATATGCTCATTTTACAGACATAAAAGTTGAATTATAAGTAAAAAAATTAAAACACAACGTAAATCTTATCAATTATTTGTAACGATAATATCCACCCAATATAATAAGATAATATTACATCCAGAAACTTTAGAAAAATATAACAGTATCAAATCAAATGAAAGAAAAGAGAACTTACCTTTGAAAGTCGAGAGTAGATCACCAATACGAGAAAATATATCACTCGAGACAAACATTCTGAAGAGCGAGATAAAGCCGTGGACAATGAACTCGTATTGTTTAGTCATGTCCATTGAGGTGCAAAACTTTCGCCAAATAGTTAAAGTGCAAACAACAAGATTTTTACGTTTTAAGAAACGGATAAAGTTTTAGAAGAGTTCCCCTCGACGAGCGTAAATGCGAAACCGGTGGCGCCCTAACTGTCTTCCTGTGTATTCACCTGCCGATATCTACGGGGCGCTAACGACTTCCGTCGCTAATTCAAGAGGAACTGTTCCGTGAAATGTTTTGTTCGGTCTCGAGTCTGACATACGTGCTGTACCTTCCTAGCCGCATTGGCCTTGAGCTCCTGAGGGGAAGCGGCCATGTTTGAGAACGGCACGTCCACGTTGAACTTGATGGAGTGGAGTAACTGCACCACCACGTTGGAAACGTTCTTGAAGGAAAGTTTCCGGCGCGAAGCCGAGCCGAGGCCCACACCAGCCGATAGACACATCTGCAAATATAACGCTTAACAATGAAATCTGTATCGACAGCAATTATATTAAATGAAAAAATAATCCATTACATTACAATTAAAAGCCACTCCCCAACCCCAATTCCCTGCTATACAATACAATTCTCAACAAATCTAATTGCAAGGTTAAAAGTAAAACTAATCTCGTAAAATATTAATCAAATAAATGGTAGCATCCCCAAGGGTTTGGCGCGAAGCTTGTAGAGGATTACTTTTATGCTTTGGACCTACTTTTCTCCGTCTTGGCGGCGGAATGATGAAGTAAGTCTGCACGGAGTGGTCCCGAAGGTACGCGTTGCGACTGCCGCCGTGACCCGGCTCCACCTCGTAAGCCCCGCCGAGGCACTCGAGCGTCGCCTGTGTTATGTGCACTCGTCTGAAAGGAATCGACATAACCTACAATATGTCCCGTGTGGAAATATAAGGAGAAAATTTACGGAACCCTTTTAGATTGAAACCTTTATTATGTAGTGCTATAAAAAGATGACTCAAATGATGATTAGGACTATTGAGTCATGCGGAAGCAATGCAACCTGTTGTGCATAATCATCACGTTTGTTTGAACTGAACCTGATAGAGCAAGTGTACCTTTGGTGTCAATTTTCCTTGATGAACAAAGAAATAACTATTCAGTTCTGTATGGAAATTAAATACAAAGTGGTTAAACATATTAATATTGTCACAGTAGCCATAAAAGACTTTCTACAAAAGACTACAATTTGAGTCGAGCAACCAGCTCCACTAAATGTCCGACAAAGAGACAAAGTACTGGCACTATATTGTTTCAAAAGTGCTTGTAATGGTCTAATGGAAATAAATTATTTAAGTTTGTGTGCGACGTGCGTGTTGTATTGTGAGAAATATTTTTTTAGCCTCCATACTTTAGCAAGAATTCGTTTAAAAACCAAATATTTAGGCCTATGCGTCCATTCTGAGTTCTACCTCCGAGTTTTTGACATTTCTAACTGGATGAGGCAGCAAACGAGCAGACGTATCACTTGATGGCAAGTGATCTGCATCATCTATAGACACTCACAACACCAGAGAAATAACAAGAGCTTTAGCGGCCTTTTCTAGTAAATAAGTCAGTGTCACTTACCCTGGTTCACCTCCAGCCTCCATGTTGTTAGCAAGAGTGACGTCATTGGACCAGACATCGTACTGCCACTTGCGCAGGCCCAGCACTCCACACAGCACTCGTCCGGTATGGATGCCGACGCGCATGTTCAGTTGGACGTCTGTTGCTTCCACCACAGATCTAAGAAGATAGAGAAGTTGTTAATTAACATTGAGTACAATAATATTTTGTCCGATAGTCTAGCATTTGTTAGTGGGAATAGTTGGGGAAGTGGTTACAAATCCATCAGTCGAATACCGAGGTTACTTGAGGTCTCAATCGCTGGTAATATAATTCAGTATTACTAATGCTTACCGGTACATTTCCTATCGACTATAATTTTAAAAAACCTTGGTATTGGCGTATAATTTCTAAATATATACGCCAAACTTTTACGCAAATAACAGGTTTAATTACACCAAGAAATACACAGGTGAACAGATTCGCAAACACCTCTTGCGTCTATCATTTTATTGATTTGTTCAGCATGCGTAAGTTTCCAAAACTGTAGTCACTAAAGGTTTTACAGCCAGTGAATCAGAAAACGTTAGAAACATAAAAGTCTAAGATTAATACTACCTACACGGCTACCAAATTAAATGTTTACATGCGAATTATAGAAAAACTGTTCGGTATTTTTCTTACATTTACTCTGAAAATCTTGTTTGAAAGAGTCTTCGGGGTAAAACAAATTAAAGTTCGCCTAGATTAAAAATTCCGGGACGAAGAGTCGAGCTCGTTGGAAAATAAAATGTAACTTTGATTAGGTACATACATATATACTACTGTGGTAGTGGCGTGGCCACAAGATCCTGAACAGTAATTACGATTACGATATTTGTGTTAGTTAATTCTCATGTAATTTTTTTATGGGATAAGCCCGTACACGAGCAACGAGTTACGGTGATAGTAAGCAATCGCCGCCGCCCATGGACCCGAAACACTAAGGCGTTACAAGTGCGTTGCCAGCCTTTTGGTTAGGAATTTGAGGATTGGGGAGAGGGGTAATTGGGCCTCCGGTAACCTCACTCACACGACAAAACACAACGCAAGCATTGTATCACGTCTGTTTTCTGTGAGACTCAGGTACCACTCCGGTTGAATCAACGCCCATTCGTGCCGAAGCATGGGTCTCCTACTCTCTAAAGGTGTCCGGTGTCTGCCTATAGGCAAACAAATGACCGAAATTATCTATTACCTATATCTATCTCACTCTAGAATAACAAGCTCCAGTTAAATATGTGATTGGCATTTAACTAAACGAAAGTAGGTCACTCGCGAAAACATGTTATTTTTAGACGAATGACTACCTAATTATTTTGAGGCTTAGTAGTATGTTTATGTTTTAAGCGTAAAGCAATTAAAGTCATTATTATAAAATGAATTATGATGTATTCTTCTTAGACGTTGACAAAGTAATAATTTAAATCGTATTTTACGTTGGAGTATAATTAGTAACTTAAGACCTTTTTATTGTTGTAGTTATTTTTCCGTTGACCGAGTATTAGACTGCTTCGATGGCCGAATGTTCGCAAGTGCGACAGCTTGGGTCTCGGGTTCGATTCCCTGGTCGGGCAAACTATTTAGTTTTTTACTTTAAAAAATCTCAGTATTAACACGAAATCTGGAATTGCGCCCGGTATATGGCAATAGGCTCACCCCCTATTACATGGGGCTCATAACATACCTCTAAATAGTGAAAAATTCGTGTTACATTGCACACTGGCATTAAGTGCCGTAATGTACACCTCTGCCTACCCCTTCGGGGATAAAAGGCGCGATGTTATGTTATTTTTCCGTATGTGGTAAAAGTAAATGAAACATATAGGTACAATAGCTTAATATTTCAAATACTAGCTTAATTTAGGAATCATATAAACAAAAGAATACCATTCCTCTCTGAAAATAGACCGAAGTATATAATAGATGGGAAGTTACAACCTTTTTCAGAAAATTAATTTTGCATTCTTCTTTTGCATTTTTAATGTAATGGCTGCATGAATTGTTAAATTTGTAAGTGGACAACGTTATGCGGTTATTCCACGAGGATATTTTGACTGGCATTACTAGCAGGCTGACCTGCTGTAGGGTTTTATCCGGTTAATGGGTTTAATGGTAACCCATCCCCTACTACAACATGCTATTAATATTTTGTGTGGTTTTGTCTGTTATACCAAAACAGTTTCAACAAAGTTTATTGAATATTTATTCGTTGGTCCAGACCAGCTTAAACTGAAGCTGAAGCTGGGTTCAGGAGGAGCAAGAGAACTCGGTTTCGATTTTTCATTTCAGTAAAGTATTAGTCGACTTTTTCAGAAAAGACATAGCACAGAGACTGGAACTGAACCTTGTATATGCCAATAAGTAGCAATACTAGAGTAGACCTAATAAAAGGTCGCAGAGAACCTAACGGGTTACCGGGGCTCCGGCTCAAAGTGCAGGAGTGGGAACGGGGTGGTTTTTAGTCAGTAAGAGTTTGACACTCCCTCACCCAGGCGGTAGAAGTCATTCGATGATTTTCTCCCCTTAAATAAAGACCTATAAAAGAGGTATTTTTTTCTTATGATTAAGATTGCCAGATAATCGTTTACTAGCTTTACAGCCGTCTGCTGTCCACAGCAGACTCTATAGTCTTCAAATGATGTAACATTCCAGTCGAAACACCAGACCAGACATCGGAATAGAACTGAACTCCATGTGCATTCCATCAAAGTTTATTAGACAGATTGACTACCTTTGCGAATGCGGCTAAATAAATCCAACTGAATTACCCAGTAACTATTCAATAAATTGAGAGATTCCAATGCTCTTTCACTAAGCGAATTCATAAATTACAGTAACGTAATTTTTACTCACTTACGTTATTTTAAGGAATCATAAGCTTCGGTTTTGTTTTGTTTTGTATTCAAATACAAGTTACAAGTATAAACTGCATTTGGCTGGATTGCCAATCCAGACAAAACAACTAGTTCTTGGTATTATGTACCTACAATATACATGTGAAATTACTTTTGTCCTGCAGACGAACCCACGACAGAAAATGCTATCACATACGATTAAAAGTCAGTCTTGGTATAAATCTTCTTTGCGAGTTTTTAACACAAAAGACTCTTTGCGTGTTTTAGTTTAACTCGCTCAGACACAGATTTAATGTGAAATTAAAAGTTCAGTTGGTACTCAAGGGTAAGTAAATTTGTGGAAAAGATACGATGTTTCTATAGATACACAAAATACAAATTAAAATAAACTACAGTCGGGTAAAAAGAAAGAAAAATAATTTACGCTTCAGTGACGTTACGCTCAAAATGATAAGGCCAGCAATATAGTTACATAGTTTTATATTCTTCTACACAAATTAACATTTTCTTGCAAGAAAACTTTCTATGCATACATAAAAAAAGACTGAAAACATCAGTGACGTCAAACTCGAAATGACAAGGACAGCCACATAACGTCTTCTCTTTCTACTCCAAACCGCTGCATCACATTGGATACGAAATGAGTTTGAAAGAAAGTTTACATGAAAGATTAATGTTATAGAAATCATAGAAATAGAAAATTACAACCATTTAAAACCCGACTATAGTACATATTCGTATTTCTCTCCTAACCGAGATTTTGCATGAGCTAATATATTTAAAATCTGTGAAAAAAGTTATGATCCTTTAAATTCCAGGTGCGAACCAAATTAGCTATCGGAAAATTATTATACGATAAGAAATTATCTATATTTACATATGGAATCGGAAATCTAAACCAAAACATAAATCAAGTAAACGCTGAAAATCGTTGATAAAGTGGAATTATTTACTCGGCGAATAAATCTCTAGGAAACTGTTATAACTCTTTCGCTAAGAGAAGACAACGCAGTAAAAGACGAATGGCGATAGACTTGGCAGAGATGCGCATACGCCTTGCTAGACAATCTACATCTACATAATATACAGTATGTAGTTCTATATACTACATCGCGTTCCAAATAAAAACGTGCAGATGTAAACATCACGGTCGGATACGAATTGCCGAAATAAGTTTAAAATACTTCACATTGGTATTTGTTATTGTTTTTCTTATTTAATTTACGTTTCCAGTTCTCACGTTAAACCAATACTTACTCGACAACGAATAATATTTTTCAAAGTAAAAAAAATAAACGCGAGATGTAAAGAAACAAGAGAAACAATAACAAGAGTAAACGATATATTATTTTAAATGAGCTTTCGTAACAAATTGACAAGATTAAAGTTAAAATTGTTGTTGAACAGTGCCATTAATATTATTTACACATTGTTGCTTGATTCAGTGATCTAAAGACTAGTTTTCAACGTACACAATTGATTTATTAATATCTCTACAATTTTAGGTGAAGTGGTAGGTGGCGCTTATCCAATATACTTCATAAACAATGACAGAGATTAACATTTGCAAGAATAGCCAAGTGGGTGTAAATATTACGACCGTAATAATCTACTTTAAACAGAACATCCACTGGAACTTACTTGTTTAAGGTTTCATTTCATTCAAAACATTGAGGTACACTGTAAACTAAAAACTTTTCTCTAGTTATTAGACATAATGGACACTTTATTAAGCGACTTTGTGAAACTCGAGTCGAGCGCTCTGTGCGGGATTCCTGTAATGAGACCATTTCTCGTTCGCAGCGAACAAATTCCGGTAATTTTCCGAGATTAATTCTTAATGTTTCACAAAGCTACGAATTAAATTAAACGAGCTTATTAAGTTACTGTAATGGCAGTAGTCGGACTGTTCTTTTCAACGTAATTCTAAAAGCAGGGTGGCGCACGCCGTCCTTGGCGACGCGACGCGACGTTGTACTCAGAAAATGGGAAATGGCATTATCCTCAATGTACGCAGTTCACACGTATTTATACAAATGGAAGAAAATTATTTAATACAACGCTGTGCCCATTGAGATTTCTTTCAGCTAATGAACCATAACTAATTATGGCCAGCTTTACGATTTCCTTTGTGGTTTATTAACGCCAGTTGATTTTATAGCAATGGGCTTTATCGGTGACAAATCGAGCATAGTTTACCGCATTTTTACGGTCCATTTTGTTCGAAATAACGTATTCCTGTTAATGGATACATGAAGTAAAGCCAAGGATTTTGTTTCTAAT